ATGAACTCAAATGCTCTTGAATCGATTAAATCCTGAACCTTGTGCTTAAAGGCTTTGCAGTTCTCGATATTATGCCCCGGTGCCCCAGAATGGAAATCACAATGGGCATTTTCATCATAGCCTTGTGGTGGCTCGCCAGTCAACAGAGCCATAGTCCGGAGTTTAACCAACCGAAGTTGAAGCAAGAGTTGCAACATCTGAGCATAAGTCATAGGGATCTGGTTGAACATTCTGTCGGACTGCTTCGTCCTTTGAGCATACCTCATAATCCTAGGATTGTCTCGGGAAACAGGAAGTAGTTGTTGGCGAGGAAATACTGGAACCTCAGGTCGTGTAAGATATCTTTGAGGCACTTCACGCCTCGGGAGAGGTTCCACATGTAAAGGTGGGATGGCCATCTCTGCTGCAACTTCGGGCACATGATCGCCTTCCTTTCTCAACACATTCCTCATGACTTCTGTTATCAGGCCCATCTGAGTCTTCAGTTGATTATTCTCCTCTCTGAGTGCATCCTGATCCAAGCGCAGCGCTTGCATCTTTGCCACAAACTGCCCCAACTGGCTCTGAACTTCCCTTAGTTCTTCTCGAATTTGTTCCATGGTCGTCTCTGTTGGTTTCCTTTGGTGGAATACTGGTGAATGGTTTGATCTTCAATTCTAGAACAAACCGAATGGAGAACCACATGAAGCAATAACGTCCACAGAAATAGAGCAACCCTATGCAAATGAAGAATGATGCAATATGCAAGACATGCAAAGAAATGCAAATGAATATGCAAATGCAACAAGGGATCAAACGTTGTTGTGTTGTTGATTGTGACGGACCAGTGCTTCGCCTTGAAACCATACGATACTAGTACAAGGATCCCACTGTAACTGTTCATACTGACAAACGGGTAGGATGAAGGTCAAAGTTTCCTGCAAGACAACCACAGAAGGTATCTTTCCCATCGGGTGAGCAATCTATTGGTTTAAGAGGGTATTCCAAAGGCTTTTCAAACAAAGTCCCATGCACTAACCCTCAAAAGTTTCCCATCAGAACGACTACTCGTAAGACGGTAATTCTTTCAAAAGGATGAACACAGAGTTATGTTTTAGCAACCTTCGGAATAAGGTTCTACAAAAGGTCCTCAGAGTCAAGGACTCCCAAGTTAGAAATAAAAACGCCATTACGACTACACGTAAGACATAATTATTCCAACGGGGTCTCATCTGAGCGGTGGAATTCGATCCAACTCAACGAGTCCTAAGTCTCGCAAATCAGAAAGAAACCACCTCCTAACTTAGTGCATACTCGAAAGCTCGGGTAGAAAGCTTTATCTCACAAACCAAACAATAAGCCCAACAAGTTAGAAAGAAACATAACCATAAAATAAATAGCAAAACAAATAAAGCACAAATGCGACAAATAAAATAGGCGTGGCTTGCTAGGTGTCCCCAGCAGAGTCGCCAGCTGTCGCTACTCGAAAAATGCATCGTGCAACGACGGGGAGGCGAAAAGGATAGACAGAAGAGTCGCCACCGAACTTTATTTATCCCATGAGGGGAAAGGAAAATATCGAGAAAACCTTAAGAAAAGAAATGGATAAGATGGTCTCGCGACCAAGAACGGGTTCGGAAGCCGGTTATGCGAGGGGAAGGTATTAGCACCCCTCGCATCCATCGTACTCGATGGGAACCTTTTGTTTGTCGACGTGTGAATTATATTTGCTAAAATATTATGCTATAAGAAGTGTTCCATGGGGTAAACAAGAAAGTTAGGAGGAAAGAGAGAACGGGGAAGAAAAAGAGAAAGAACAGACTCGGTAGAACTTCGCAGTCCTATGCCTACGTATTCTCAATAGATGTGAGAAAGTCAGAGTCGACGTAGTTCGGGAAACTACGGGTGATGGGGGGGATTGTGCTCGCCAAGGATTGTGGCCCTTGTGCCTACGTATTCTCATCTGGTATGAGAAATCAGAGCAGCCGTAGTTCGGCCTACGATGTGTTGATGTTTTTTATGGATGATGCTATCGTGCGCATTCTAGCAGTTAGGTGTTTTGCTGCTCGCTCGTTGGAGACTTAGGCGTTACCTGTTTGCGGTAGAACGGACGTAACATATCCTTTTTGAAAGACTGATTAGTTTTCGCCACGCGGGGCAAGAAGTCACGTTTGATTGATTGGATTGTTTTTTAGGGGGCGAGACAGGTCCTCGGATAGTAACCCCTACGGGTAGTACCCAATTTGTTATCTCAAAGTTTTTGTTATAAAAAGGTGTGGCGAACGAGGCGTCTTCGTATTGAAAGACGAGTATCAAGACCACACACACTACAGTGAGTATCCTGACACTCGGAGAGGAAAAAGACTACACTCAATCCTCTCTCTTTAGTTCAACACAAAGAGAACTTCATTCTCTTATTAAAGATGTTTTTGGTTTTGAATGGTAAGTGCTTTGCGACAGAGAACCCTACGGTAAACGTCAGCACTCGGGATAGGAGAAGGCCTACGCCTAACCACTCCACGACCATTCAAGTTTTTGTGAAAATGATTTGAAAATGCACTCAATGCGAGACCGAGGTTTTAAGTGACAAGGGTTGCGGGATGAAGTTGTGAAAACGAGATGGTGGATAAAGAATCGTCTTCGTATTGAAAGACGAGTATCGAGACCACCCTCACTACAGTGGGCATCCCAACATTCGGAGAGGAAGAGGTCTACACCTAATCCTCTCTTTTTAATTCAATACAAAGAATAATTAGTTTATTATGGTTTGAAAAAGGACTCGGTACGAGACCGAGGTTTTTTAGGAGAAGAGGGAGTGGCGTCTTCGTATTGAAAGACAAGTATCGAAACCTCCCACACCACAGTGAGCATCTCAACACTCGGAGAAGAAGAGGTCTACACCCAATCCTCTATTTTTAATTCAACACAAAGAATTTGATTTGAAAATATTTTCGAAGTTACATTCGGTACGGGACCGTGGTTTTAGGAGGGTAAGCGTTGAAAGCGAAATGGTCTCAGATCCAACGTTATTTATTGACAGTTTGACTTAATAACGATTTACGGAGGTATCGTCATCGACCCAAAAGTGGAACAAAATGTCCAATATCAAAAGAAGAAATGAAATTAACTTCTAAACAAATCTTAAAATCTCTAAGAGAAAATAGATAAAACTATAACTTAAAAAAAAATAATATATAAACTATACTCAACCCCCTTTTCTTTTTAAACAAAAAAAAACAAAAAATATATATTATAAACTGTGTTAAAAACCAAAACAAAATAAAAAGATAAAGTAAAGACAATATTAATGTAATATGTTCAATCTATTTTATATATGCATAATAGTAATAATAATATATTATAGGCAGAAACATGATATTTACAAAAAAATGCTAATAATAACAAAAAAGAAGAACAAACCTAAGAATAACACGGGCAAAACATCTGGTTAGTGAAGAAAGAGGAACGAACTTGAAAACTCTACCTTCCCAGAAAAACGTGCGTCAGATCCATTCTCACACAATCGATTCACATCGAGAATATCATGATGCGATCTGGCTTCAATTAAAGCGGAGATTATGTTGTGGTTATGAAGATTTGGGTCGTACTCGTTGATGGTTTCTCCTCTTCTCCTAATCTTCTGTTCTGATTTGGATTAAAGGTAATAGGGGATTCGCTGGGGTTTGATGAAGGTTTATGTGTAGCTTTGAAGAAACTAAGAACCAACAGTGGAGATCAATGGAAAAAAAAAGGTGCTGAACAGAGACGTAAAAATCGCCCACCATATGTTCGATGAAAGTTCTATTATGGCTTTGAGGGTTTCATGGAGATTTCTGGGTGATTTTTTATTGGAGGATGTTTGAAGGTGTTGGTGTTCTGAAGTTGGTTTGTGATTCTGTTGTTCGGAGTTTTAACGGGTTTCGTTGCTGATTGCGATGGCTTCGATGACGTTAAGGGAACTATCGGAAACATCGATGTCTGTCGAACATGAAGCTACCATGTCGAAGCTACTTATATTGGTGTCAATGAAGGTTGAGAAATAGCTTTGTGTTTTGTTTAAGGGCCGGTTTTGCTTCTGTTACGCTGCAGGGGTTCTGGTGTAAGTGTTGCAGCAGAGTTTTTGTGTTATCTGAAGCAACAGTGTTTCAAAGGTTTTATGCTATTGTGATGGTGGTTGCAGATGATGGTGACAAAGGGAGTTATACGGTGCGTGGTAGCTTGGAATGTATGGAGGTTGAGGTGAAGTTTAAGAGTTATGGAAGATGGTTGAAGAATGATGCTTGAGAATATGGCTTAGCAGAGGAAAGTGTGTTTGTATGTGGTAAATGGACTCAAGGTTGAGGCTGAGGAACAAAGGCACCGTGAATTCCTATTCTGAACGAGACCATCAACCTTCTTATTATATTTTTCTCGCAGATCCTTTTTGCTGTTTTTTCTTCCTCTTTTTAGTTTCTTTTTTTTAAAAATTGTCTTATTGTTGATGTCAAGTCATTTTCAGGTGCAGGATTTTTGTTTGTTGGTCTGGTGTGGAGTGGATTTGTAGCAAGCATGGTACGATTTCTGCAGGTGTGTGGGCTGGATGTTTTGTTTTGCAGGTATTGTCTGGCGGTACGGTTTGTTGTGTGTCTCCTAGGGCAACAATTGGTGCTAACTCTTGAATCGACGGAAAAGCGGTGCGTAAGATTTGTATGCCGTGACATTAGATGCGTTGTGGATGTGATTTTCAAGCTGTGTTTTGAAACATTGCGATGGATGTAGCGGGTCTGATTTCTGTTCAGTGCCGAGCCATAGTGTTGTGGGTTATTGGTAGTAGCAGAGTCGTAGCCATACGGATTTATTTTAGCTGCTGACCAGAAAGTCCAAAATGCTTTTGCAGGACAACTCAACTTTCTCAGCTTATATGCTTCAACCACTACCACATGTCTGTTGATGTAGCTCATTATATAATATACTCACATTCACATACGTCCTGGTTTATCTCATTTCAATGATATGACATCTTTTCTTGGTCCATGAATGACCTATGACTCTGGATCGTCTTTAATGCCATCAAGCATAGGTGGAGACGATGCACCGCTAACTCTGCTGGGCAATGGTGTATTCCTTCGTGAATGGCGTTTTGTAGGTACAGTAGCACTCTCAGTTTCCCACTTAAGACTCGTTACATCTTCCTCCTCATCAGCATCCTCAAGGCTAGCCTTAAAAACTGGGTGAACATAAGCGTGTTGAAGGTAACCTTTTATGTTCAGGTTCGGATCTGTAGCTCGTTCTAATGTATCTTTCATCATCGCTTCCTGTAAGGGATATTTAGAAAATGCAGATTCGAAACGGCCTTTGCAGTATATATGGAACCATATCGTCAGTACCGGTAGCGCAATGAGAAAAGGAGTTGATGAAGCAGCTCTTTTGGTGGTTAGGAGTCCCATCAGAACTAGCTGTGAGACTATCAGTGCAATTATGACACGGAAATGGACATCAGGCCAGAATGCTGCACCACTCTCGTATTCTTGATTATAAACGTTGATTATCTGATGGCGGAACACAACATAGGCCAACCCAAAGAAAATTATTATGAAAGGAAGAACAGTAGGTGTCACTGCAGCATAGACTAGGCCCAGCAGAAAGTACAATTGTATGCGAGGTTCTCCAGTGTTGAAACCTATACTTCCAGGATCCGTGGCCTCTTCCCTGTCCTTTTCAGTCTTAACCAAGAAGAAGTTCTTCAAGTGATATATAATTAGTGGTTTCAACATCAAAACCTCAGCAGCTATACCAGACCATCCATCAACCATTATATAGGTGATGAAGAAACTAGCTTTTAAAGGAATTGCAGTGCCGATTGTTATAGGATACTCATTGGCTGGTTGGTGAATGAAAGAGTCGAGCTGTTGAAATGCTGTCCCGGTAAGTATGTTCCCAAGAAATATATTCACAAAACTAAAAAGGTAGTATCTAGAAGCCGATCTTCTCTCAAGAGAAGATATAGATCCAAAGCCTTCAAATTTTGACATCATCATCAATATTGATGGTAAGAAGATAAGAAAAAGCTTCAATGCAATACCAGGTAGAAAACCCTGAATGAATGACTTAATGAAAGGGACCCTAACAAGCGGATGCAACCATGGTGCTGCTTTCTGTATTCCGTCAAGACTCGCAAGAGCTTGTACTATTGCAATCGGGATCATGAAAAAGAAAGTGAGAAAAAAGAACGCAACAGCTACGATCAACCTTCTAGCAGTTAGGGAAACATATGGAATCGCTAAGTTTGGCCAATAGACGTCCCGTGGCTCTGGAGCCCACTCAGTCAACCAAAGTGTTGGATTTCTGGTTTGTTGTGATGAAACCATCATTTTCAGCTTATTTTATTAAATGCAAATATCATGCGGGCCGCTTGTTTGTAACTTCTTATTTGTAAAAAAAAAGAAAACTCACACTTTTCTTTTCTTCCCTTTTTGTAACCTCTTGTAATTCATGGGCCTTTTATTGGAATGAATATTTGTGAGGATTTTGTAAGTCTTTGAAATGACATTTGGATTGTGAATGAGCTTTTAAAACCATACTTAAAGGATACCTTTGTGATTTTCTCGCAAGGTGATTTACTCACAAGCTTTGGTAATACAATAAGTCCCTGGAATAATTTGGCACTGCCTCGACTATCCCAATTCCCGATTTAAAAGCAATTATAATTGAAAGCACACATAATTCCATGTTCTTAATTAAAACTACTCTCAAATCTTCTCTGACCTGGATAGCACCTGGAATTGATCTTTAAAAAATAAAGTCAGTCTTAGGACAATCTTAGTCCTGAGTCAATTGCCAAATCATTTTTGATGCTTGCCACTTTGAAAACATGATGAGCCGAAACCTTCATTATGGACTTTTTAACCATGTCTTAAAACAGCTCGTGTCGTAGAGCTTGAACCATGGTTTAACCAACTGAGCACATCTTGATTATTTAACCGTAGTAACATTACTTAAACTTTTCTTATCTTCAACCAGGCCCCCACATCTTCCATGAAGGCTTATGCCCCTATAGAACACAGACTAACAAAACTCAAAGGCATGAGAAAACAAGCTGAACAATCATGGCTCATAGCCAAATGATCATCTAAAGAACAAACACCCAACAAACACCGATATTTATGATGAGAAAAGTAAGAAAGGTAGGACAAATTTAGGGTATGACAGATGAAGGATATATACAGGGGTAGGGCAAATTTTAGGGTGCAACAGTTAGTACCTTCTTGCTGACTGTAGCCTTGATCAACAAGTCTAGCTTTATTTCTGATGACCTCTCCTTGCTCATTTAACTTATTTATGTAGACCCATTTTGTTCCAATAATGTTGAATCCTCTTGGTCTTGGAACCAGATCCTAGACATCATTTCTTGTGAATTGATTCAGCTCCTCTTGCATAGCAAGTATCCAATCGTTGTCTTGCAGAGCTTCATCCACATAGGTAGGTTTAATAATTGACACCAGACCAAACAATGATGTCCCAGAGGATTTGAGGAAGGATCTTGTTCTTAAGGGATCATCCTTCTTTCCAATAATCATCTCCTCTGGATGAGAAGATTTGATTCTGGAGGATCCTTTCAGAGTTGGTTCTTCAGAAATAGTTAAGTTGTCCAGATGAGCAGCTAATAGAGTGACATCTAGAGTTGCTTCTGGTTCTTTAGCTGGAACTTTGTTTGCCTCTGATTCTTCAGAGTCTGTGAGAAAAACTTCTCGATCTGCAGAAATTTCAGACTGCTTTGGCTTTTGATTGCCAAGCTTATCATCAAATCTGACATGAATTGATTCTTCCACAATCTGTGTTTCAGTGTTGTATACTCTGTAGCCTTTTGAGCGTTCAGAATATCCAAGCATAAAACACTTTTGTGCTTTAGAGTCAAATTTGTTCAAATTATCTTTAGTGTTCAGAATAAAACAAATACATCCAAAAGGATGGAAATATGAAATGTTGGGCTGTCTATTCCTCCACAATTCATAAGGAGTATTCTCCAGAAGAGGTCTCACAGAGACTCTGTTCTGAATATAGCACGTTGTATTTATTGCTTCTGCCTAAAAATGTTTAGCCATATTTGTCTCATTGATCATGGTTCTGGCCATTTCTTGCAATGTTTTATTCTTTCGATCTACAACTCCATTCTGTTGAGGAGTTCTAGGACAAGAGAAATCATGTGCAATGCCATTTTCTTTAAAATATTTTTCAAAAGATTTATTTTCAAATTCACCACCATGATCACTTCTGACTTTGACAATATTAAATTTCTTTTCATTTTTGACTTGATTGCAGAAATAAAAAAATACAGAGTGAGACGCATCCTTGTGCTTTAGGAATTTTACCCATGTCCATCTATTGTAGTCATCAACGATGACAAGTCCATACTTCTTGCCTCTGATGGATGCAGTTTTCACTGGTCCAAATAGTTCAATGTGCAGAAGCTCTAATGGTCTAGAAGTAGAAACAATATTCTTTGGTTTGAAAGTGGATTTTGAAAATTTTCCTATCTGACATGCTTCACAAAGAGCATCTGAGTTGAACTTCAACTTAGGAAGTCCTCTGACCAGATTGAGCTTGTTAATTTGAGATATATGTCTCATGCTAACATGTCCCAATGTTCTATGCCAGACTCATTGCTCATCATTAACAGACATAAGACATTTAACATTTTGACTTTTCAATTCTGAAAGTTTTATTTTATAAATGTTATTCTTTCTTTTACCATTAAAGAGGATTGATCCATCTTTCTGACTAACAACTTTGCAACATTTTTGATTAAAGATAATATCATAACCATTGTCACTAAGTGACTTATGGACAACAAGTTATGAGTTAATCCTTCTACAAGCAGAACATTTGAGATGGAAGGGAGGTTACCATTACCAACTATTCCAGAGCCAATGATTTTTCCCTTTTGGTTTCCTCCAAACTTCACGTCTCCACCAGATCTAAGTTCCAGACTTTGGAACATAGACCTTCTTCCCGTCATGTGTCATGAGCATCCAGATTCCAGGTACCAAGACTGGTGTCTCAACCTTGCTGCTAAGGACATTTGCAACATAAATTATTTTATCCTTAGGTACCTGGACTATTTTGAATCAACACCCTGGGATCCTAAATTTTAATGATGTTACTAGAAAAAGGGAATCTGTGTTGTCCCTTCACTACAAACTTTTTGCTGGAAAACATGTTCCAGATATTATTTTGACATCTGCTAAGAAGGCCACTGCTTCAAAGGCAAGAATCATTGATGAGTTAAAAGAAACTTGTAGGGAATTAGGGGAAACAATTAATGCAGCTACGACAAGAAAAATAAAGTTGGAATCATTAATTCAATGCCTTAAAGATGATACTGCAAATGTTGATGATACTAGTAAGGCTGAGTCTGGGGAGGAGTCTGAAGATGGTAATGAAGATGTCCCAACTGATGTTGAAGATGTTGGCTCTACTTCTGCTTCTGAAGATAAAGACTAAGCTGTTTGCTTTGATATTGAGTTGTGGTTTTTTTGGTCACTTGTGTTGTCTGCTTTGGTAGAATAGACTGAATTTTTTGCACTTCATATGCTTTTGGATTGTAATATTTGTGGGGTCTCTATGCCTTTTAACTTGTTTGTTTCTAACTGTTTGATCTATTTTATCTACTGGTTATTTTTCTTAAATTTATGGCTAAAAAGGGGGAGAAGAGTAAGAGTATTCTATATAATCTCTGGTATTTGTGTGTGTATGCTTTAGCAGGTGCGTAGTATGCTGATATGCTTTAGCAGGTGTGTAGCTGTTTGTGAAGTCGGTGTTTGCTGGTGGTCGCTGCTTGCTACTGTTGTATGGTGTTCTCTTAGGCTGACAGGATGTTGATCCTGCTGGTGCTTTTGTGCCTGTAGACTGTGTATTTTTTTGGGTTATGTTTGTGCTTGGGCTGTTTTGGCATGCCTTACAGGTTGCTGAAGGCTGTGAAGTTTGTAGGCTGCTCTGTGAAGTTGCTTGGGCTGTTGTGGTGTTTGTTGCATAAGTTGAGGGGGAATGTTGCTTTTACTTTACTTACTGTGTAGACTGTATAGTTTTTCTAATGTGCTGAACTCTTTTCTGGTTGTTATTTTCTTGTGATTTGTTTTAGCCAAAATTTTCCAAAGGAGGAGTTTGTTAGTTCTTGATTGGCAGGCATTTTGGTAAAACTAGGTGTAATCATAAGATGTTCTATAGGATGTCGTGACATCTGTCTATCAGGAGCAGCAAATTGCTCTATACCTATTAACAGATCTTTTCTACGTGATGTCAAACAATATGTCTTGACACTCATGGACTAAACATTCTATATGAATGTATTTGTATATCCATATCTTTTTGTGCAAGCTGCTGCACTGTTCTGGTGTAGAACCTGCATGTTTTGGGTGGTTTTCTAAAGATGTTTCTGATACACTTATTATGGATCTGATTTGATTTGATATAGATTTATTATCAGAATATTGATTGAAGATTGGAAGAATGATATGATTAGATTTGATTGATCAAATCAAATCTGTTGCAATTTATGAAGATTGAAATCTTCTCTTCCTGCTGTTACTTTTGGCACAACCTAAGCCCATTCTACACTATTATTTAAGGAGGCTGAAACCATATCTTGAAGATCAGAGAAGCAAGGATTAAAAGTGTGTGCATCTTAAGCCTTTGTGTGTGTTAGTTTTGTGAGTCATTCACTCATTGTTTAATGTGTGAATTAGACTAGGTTGTTATTTGTAAATTGTTCACTCAAAGCTCGTAAGCAAGAGTGTATTGTACTTGATTAAAGCTTTTAAGTAAGATCAAGTTGTGACTTTGAAGAGTGTCTTCTAAAGTCTTTTTATTTTGTTGAATTATTATCACTGCTGTGATTGAGGGGGAGTGAGAGGTGTCTCTTGTCTAGGTGTGTTCTAGGCAGAAGTTGCATGGGTAGAGATTAAGCGAGGAGTTGTAAACTGAGAGTTTAGATCTGAATTAATTCTACTGTTAGTGAATTTCCTCCCTGGCTTTGTAGCCCCCAGATGTAGGTGTGTTTTCACCGAACTGGGTTAACAATTGTTGTGTCTCTTTTAAATTGTTATTTGTTTAGCTTTGTTCTTTGTTCTTATCAAATATATATTTGTGTCGTGAACATCACCTTCGACATCTTATATCTGATACTAGAATTTCACTAAACTACAAAAAGGAAAGATTCAGACAGAGAAGATGATGTTATTAACCCTGCATCTATGGTTAGTACACTATTTGATTCTGAATTCTTGCCAGGTTCTGACTCATAATCTGATGAGGCTATTAAGAAACAACTTGTTTTTCTTTAAGAAGAACTGAAATCTTCTATAAGAAAAATTGT